AATACTGAAAATAAGTAATTATCAATGATTCTTAGTATGATATTTCTATAAGGGCGTATCGTGACGGGTGATGAAAAATGGATACGCTATATAATCTGAAGCGCAAAAAATCATGGTGCAGGCCAGGCGAACCATCAACATCGACGGCAAAGCCGAATTTTCATGGCGCCAAGTTCATGCTCTGTATTTGGTGGAATCAGCTGGGTGTAGTGTATTATGAGCTGCTCAAACCCAACGAAACCATCACTGGGGAACGCTACTAACAACAATTGATGCAATTGAGCCAAGCATTGAAGCAAAAACGGCCAGATTACGCGAAAAGACACGACAAAGTAATTTTCAGCACGACAACGCTGGGCCACATGTTGCGAAACCGGTCAAGGAAACGTTAGAAGCGCTTAACTGGAATGTCCTACTATACCCGCCGTATTCTTTAGATATTGCTCCTTCCGATTACCACCTATTTCGATCGATGACTCATGGCCTTCGTATTCGTGGATAACCTCTAAAGATGTTGTGTCGTTCTTTCGACGTTGAATCCACTTATTACCAGAAAGATGAGAAAAAATAGTGACTAGCGATGGACAATATTTTGAATGAACAATTTGTAACCATTTTTTCACAATAAAGCCGTATTTTTACCAAAAAATCCCATAAATTTTTTTTTTAATGCACACTCCAAATAATATTTTAATAACACTTTGAATAAGGATTTAATACTTTTTTCCTTTATGTGCATAAAATATTCATAAAATATAATAATATTATAAAATATGTTTAATAATAAAATATATTTATATAATATGTTTCTTTAAAAATAATTCGAAATTAATATTTATAAATCTTTGTCATAAATATTAAATTATGATTATCCAAAAATGAAATAACAAATTACAGCTTTCTATAATAATTTCGTAATAGCCAAAATCTGTTAAAAGATTACAACTTTTACGATGTATTACAACGAACATTATACGTATAATGTTATGTGTATTAAATTATACGTATAATGTTCGTTGTAATACATTGTAAACAATTGTAATTTTTTAACAGATTTTGACTATGAAAAAATCATTGTAGAAAGCTGTAATTTGTTATTCCATTTTTGGGTAATTCTAATTATTATAACAAACTATTTCTACATGACAACTTTTATGTTTTTAAAATTTCTGATAATGTATAATATGTTGTAAGTTTTTTAAAAAAATAACAACTAACTACATTGCTCACATTTAATATTTTTAAGATAATACTGATTGTTGTAGTTCAACATTAAAGTTGTAATTTTAGTCGATCGGTTTTTAATACTGACTTCTATAATAATTTTAAATAGATTTAGCTTAGTAATGGAAATAATCACTAGATAAATAATAGAAATAATAATCTTAAATATACTTAGATAGTTAATGTGCTGATTAAGAGGTTATAATTGATTGTAAAATTATAATTTTAACGCCAATGTACGATTAACTACATCTTGCTTGTAGAAATTTATTGTATATTCTCAAAAATTGAAGAAATTTCTTACGCAAAACTACGTTTTATTGCAACATTTACAAATTATAATTTTAATGAAAATGTACGATTAACAATGTTTTGGTTGCAGAAGTTTATTATATATTCTCAAAAATAATAAATTTTTTTACGAAGAACTACTATTATGACATTTACAGTTTTCATATTATTTATTAGTATTTATAGTATTTTACTATATTTATAGTATATTATTTATAGTATTTATAGTATATTATTTATAGTATTTATAGTATATTATTTATAGTATTTATAGTATATTATTTATAGTATTTTACTATATTTTATAAATATTACTAGTATTATTTACTAGTAATATTTCCTAGTATTTTACTATATTTTATAAATATTACTAATATTATTTACTAGTAGTATTTCCTACTTTGCTGTAGAAATGCGTGAATTAGTAATAAAATTACATAATTGTTTGTAGATTTTCTTCCATCAGGAAATGGGACATAGCAACTGAATAATGTATAAAGCAAGCATACCGATGATATTTATCTTCGCTACAGCAACACACTGCATTTCGTCCGCAAGTTTATGGATCGATGGATAAAACAAATACCTAACAAAGTTAAAATAATATCAACATATATAGAAACCAGAATCAGAAAGAGGAGAAAACATTAATATTTTAACTGTCTAAATCCTAGAAAACTTGTCTATTATAATAATTGTCTGTTATAATAATTGCCCTTCAGAGATCAAATTTAAGTCATATTGTTTTATGAAAATGTTGTTTTATGAAAATTATTTCGGAAATATCTCGCTTCTTATAACTGTTCTCTACCTAGAATTTGGACAATCAAATTCATGGTTCTTAGACAATTTATGTTCTGAGATCACACTGACAACGCAGTGGGGTGATATTGATTTGGTTTACATGTTCCTTCATTCGCGTAAACAGTTTTCGTCCAGTCTGGCGAACATATATAAATTCGCAATCTTTACAATGAATCTTATACACAACACCGCTGTGTTCCGTCAACCGCAAACTGTCTTTATATGTCTTAATAAAAATATCAAACTTATTCATTCCAGTGTATGCGAAATTCAAGTACCTTAATGCAGTTTTTGAACTATTCCGAAACTTTTTCAACATAAAGAATAATAAAATATTTATTCCCAATAGAATCTTTTCTAATGCTTTTCTCGGTCAAAATATTATTTCTAAGAGACATGTTCAACAACTTAGCCAATCTAGTTTGCATTGTCATAAATATCAAAGACAAAGGATAACAATTACGAACCAAGACACGAATAACCAAACTCCGATTCTTTTAATGGTATATGAGATGAGACAATAAAAAAACTGTCTACTAAACCTATTATTGTGCCTTTTTTATAACTCAATAGGTGGTGAGCATAAAAATTCAAGTATCTCACTGAAAATGTGGGTTTATGAAACCAATCAAACCGTATGCTATTTTTTACTATTAAAGTCATATCCAAAAAATTAATTGTCTTGCCAATACATATTTCCATTGTAAACTTTAATCTTGGATGTAACGAATTAAATATTTCTAGCAATTTCATTGAGAAATTAGACGGTACTGCGAGTACAATATTGTCCACGTATCTGTAATAAAAAGACATTTTATTGATATATGTTTTAGGCTTTTCTTTCTAAATCCTGTAAAGTCAAGTCAGTCAATATTGGTGACAGAAGTGAGCCCATCGGTGAACTAAATGTTTGTTTAAAAAAAGTGTCATTAAATTTAAGAAAGGTTGCATCTAACACAAAACCGACAGCAATTAAAAATTCATCAAGCGGGATGTTTGTTTTCTTAGAAATGTCAGTCCATCTATTCCTAGTGCTTTTAATGCTAATTCAGTCGGCACATTCGTGAACAATGAAACTACATCCAACGAAACCAGTTCATAATGATTCTCCAAATGCATCTCTGCCAATTTCCTGACTAATTCAAAGTTGTTTCGTACACTATTTTCTGCCACCGGCACACTCTTATAAATTATTCCATGAAGGAATCTCGCAAACGGATGCAGTGGACTATCAATGGATGAGATAATCAATCTCATCGGGCAGTTAGGTTTGTACACCTTAGGATGGCCATATGTTCTCAATAATGTCTTACCAGTTACATTTCCTCCTATACTGGTTATCCAAAATAAAACCACGATTTTTCCATCTCATTAATAGAGAGTGTAGATCTTTAATTAGTTTATTCATTGGATTTCGATTTAAAGTAATGGAAGTATCTGAATCACTCAATAAGGAATTTATTTTTTCTAAGTAAACATCTTTTGTCAACATGACCGTTATGTTACCTTTGTCCGTCTTGGTTAATATCAACTCTTTCTCCCGAGAAACTTTTCCGTCTCCATAAAAGCCGATAATAATGGCTTATCAAACACATTTTTATGGTTGTAATTAATCAAAAGCTTATTAATGCGAGGTAAACAATTGGCCCTCACTTGATGTCTGTAAAACACAAATTATTTTCAATGTGTTTGATAAACTCAAATAAATATTTCTCCCTACTACCAAGTAACGGCATTCAAAACTCAGCGCGTAATTGCAATATGCCTTGAATATTTTTTGGGGTATTGGTTCTTGACATATTAACAAACCACTTATCTTGTATTTGCAAAGGAGACTTACAGATGTCAACAACATAATCTGTCGGACTAAAAGAAATACTAATCAATGTCTCGTTATTCTTTGTTTCCATAGGCGTACGTGAAAAATACATTTGTTTTTGTTATTGAGGCAAACTAGTTGTTAAGGCAAAGTCACTCTATCTCAAGTGACGATCGTCATTTCATTTATCGAGCGAAAATTTACTTCATGACACAGAGTAAAAATTTTTACTCCACGATATAGAATGAAGGAATTCACTCTATAAGAATGAAAAGTCCTTCTAATTCGAGTGACTCGGCTGTCATTCCATTTTTCGAGTTAAATATTCGCTCCAAAAAATTTTGAGAGTACATATAATTTTTTTGAAAATTAAATGATCGACGATCTTGTGACTTGTTTATAATATTTTCACAAGTTTCTTTTATAGTCTTTTTGTTTTGTCATAAAAAGTCTTGTTCTTAAAACTGTAAAAGTAATTTAGTTATAAGAGTTAAAAACATATTATTGGAGCAATTTTCGTATCTGTGATACATGTAAATAGTACTAGCATTGATTTCAATTATTTCAGCTTCAGCATAATCAATTCTTTACTTATTATATATACGTATTGATTGTGATTAATATACCGTTAAAATTTGAAAAAAAATTCTAAAAAGTTGATTTATGAAACAACTACGTTAAGGTTTAAGTCATTGAAATAAGTTTCTCATTTTTAAAGTTTTAATTTTAAAGTTTAATAGTTGATTTTTGTGATAAACGTTATCATAACTCATACTTAACTCATACTTTAATTTTTAAACAAGATCTCTACTTTTACTTACATCCCTTGTCAGAATATGTTTTGTATCATAAAAATTCGTACCTTGAAGAAACGCTTGCATCGTAGGACTAGGTTCCGGCGCCGGATTCAATAATTTTTGATGCTGAGAGATTGCATCGGTGAAATTCCTTAGTTTTGTGTCCACATTAGATGTCGAACCTGATTTTACGACGGAGCCACCTAAACCTGTTCCACCCAAGAGGTAACGTTTTTTCAACTCTAAAGAGAGTCTTGAAGCAATTCCTTCAGTAGAGTGAGTACGATTCAGCAGATAATCTCCCTTCCGTGGGTTAAACAATGGCACGGGACTGCTGGTATCGACAGGTATCGATACGGAAATATTGCAATTTACTTTTCTATTCGATTCATGCTTGATATAATTGCTTTGTAAAAGTTGCTTGTCATTATCTTGCTGCTCCTGATCCTGTTTTGGATTGTCATCAATTAAAGGAATTACTTTACTTTTCACCTGTATTCTTTTCGCTTCAATGTAGGTGCCCCTTGTTTTCCGTACATAAGAATCGTTGATAGCGATTTCAGGGATTTCGTGCTGAGTTGGAGTTGCTCCATCATGTTCGAATTCAGAATCAGTTGATATCTCTGTCGCAGAATTTTCTGCACTTTCCTCAGTTGTCGTATCTTCCGACGATGCGACCTGTATGATATAATCATATTAAATAATCAATTATTACACATAAATATAATTATAATATAGTTATAACAGTAAATAAATTATTTAATTCTTAGGTAGTATGAAAAATCTAACTGCATTAATAGACGTGTAATTACACAGGCCAACAAGAAAAAGTTGTCTGTGCTGGGGATATGACTGGGCTATCTTAATGTTTTTTGGCTGAATACAAATCAGATGTTAACATTGAGTATCAGTTTTGAGTAAACATAAAAAATAGTTAAAAAATCTATATTTGAAGTAATAAGATCGTAGAACGCAGAAAGATCGTACATCGCAGAAGGCTGGGAATGTGGCTAGGTTATTCTTATGTTTTTTTTTGGGTCGCTGAATACAAATCTGATGTTAACATTGAGTTTCAACGTATTAGTTTTGAGTAAACTAAAAAATAGCTTAATTAAAAGTAAAGAACTTATATTTGAAGTCATAAGATCGAACATCGCGGAAGGCTGGAAATGATACTAGGTTATTCTTATGTTTCTTGGGTCGTTGAACACAAACATAGTTTCAGAACTGCGCTATTGCGTCTATCGTAAAATTTGAAAAATAGTCCGAAAACCCATATTTGAAATAATAAGATCGCTGATCATGGAAAAATAGAGGTTTTGTTGGATGCTAAAATAAAAAAAAATAAGAGGAAAAAAACGCGAGAAAAATTCACTTCATAGGTCATTTGAAGAAAACATAGTACGAAAAGCAGGCGCTCATAAAACGTATTTATTAATAATACTTCAAAACTCAATGTTAACATCAGATTCGTGTTCAGCGACCCAAAAAACGTTAAGATAGCTCAGTCACATCCCCAGAATACACTTCTTTTTTTTATGGGTCTGTGTTACTATATAGTTCTCTTAAATAAAAAAGAAATTTAGTAATAAGCCCACCAGGCACTCAATTGTTAGTGATTATGGGTCCAAAAATATTACAAAATTATAAATATTCTAACACGGAGAAATGTAATTTTGCTGTTTAGCAAAACCATAATTACCACTATGTTTTAATATTAACAACGAAAAAATGCAGTTAACATTATCAAATTTTTGAACTATTCGTTATTACAACACGAACATTTTTGTTGCTAAAATAAAAATAAATTACTGACTAAAATTGTTCTTGGAAATTCATTACTGTGCTGTTAGAACATAATAGCGCATTCCTAGCAAATGCATTTGCTGTTATAGCGAAATCACTACTGATACGAAATCGTAATGGTATTAAAAGAAAAAGCCTGGCCAACTGTCTCCGGGGCATGTGCCCCAAATCCTTGCGATCGATATTGGGGTCAACATATATATCAAATTAAAGATCTTGCCAGGCAGAAAACGAATATGTACTTTTTACCTAGGATTGATGAACCGTTCTCGAGATATCCGGTCCGGAAATTCTAGTGGTCCAAGGTGGATTTTCAAACATAAATTGCTTCAAATGGCTGCCAAATTATCAATTTAAGATCTACAAATATGATTAATGGCTTAAAATGCTCATAGATTGATACTCTCAAACCCATTTTAACAGTTTTTAAATAGGAGCCAAAATGGCCCTTTAGGCCGTTTGGACAAAATGGCGCTTCGAGCAAGTGGGTTCTAAAATTCAGTATTTTATTAGCAATTTTTTAACTTTTTGTGGGAATATTCAATTTTTTAGCAACAACCAGAATATACATTTTATCAGCCATAGTATTAGCTTTAAAATAAACCATTGATCAAAATTTTACGATTTGGTTGAGATATTGCACTTTTTGTCAGCGAAAGTCACTGAAAGTGATAATAACGCTAAGAAAAAAATTGAAATTCAGTTTGATTTTAGTGGTTTTTTTGGCTTTGATTATATTTTCAATAAATTATGCGCACATTGAAATATAAAAACGCATTTAACAAAGAAAAACAAAAAAAAATGAATACAAAATACACGTTCATTAATGTGATTTTTTCCAAAGCTGCACAGTCACTTTCAGTGACTTTCGCTGACAAAAAGTGCGATATCTCAACCAAATCTTGTCGTAAAATTGTGATCAATGGCTTATTTTAATACTATGGCTGATACAATGTATGTTCTGGTTGTTGCTAAAAAATTGAATATTCTCACAAAAAGTTAAAAAATTGCCAATAAAATACTGAATTTTAGAACCCACTTGCTCGAAACGCCATTTTGCCCAAACGGCCATTTTGGCTCCTATTTAAAAACTGGGTTTGAGAGTATCAGTCTATGAGCATTAGTCACATTTATAGATCTTAAATTGACAATTTGGCAGTCATTTGAAGCAACTTATGTTTAAAAATCCACCTTGGACCACTAGAATTTCCGGACCGGATATCTCGAGAACGGTTCATTAGTCCAACATAAGAAGTACATTCGTTTTCTGCTTGGCAAGACCTTTAATTTGATATATATGTTGACCCCAATATCGATCGCAAGGATTTGGGGCACATTCTGGCCGAGCTCTTTCGTGTCGTATTGTATCGTACAAAATTTTTTATGTTACTTATTCTATTATAGATCCAAATATAGGTCCCATACATGCTACAGTATGCTAACATATTCTATTTTATACTACTATAGTAAAACAGAACAGATGCTGAAACAGTAACACATTGCGCAAATGATGCGTTATATCTATTCATTACTGTCGCACGTATATTACTGTTATTAAAGATTATCAGGAATGTTTGTTTAAACTGCGCGTGTGCAAGATAGCGTTGTCGTCGTTTTTTTCGTTATTCTTAAGTTGGTGCGACTTTCATCGACATTTAGCTGCAATTCGTGTGTCATTCTCTGTTTTTATTTGCAAATAAACGCTTGTTCTGTGTGTAAAAAATTCTTTCCGGCAATTTGCCAAAAGTCGAGTGTAACTGACAAGGTACATGACAGAAGTCATTTCCCATGTATTTTTGCCTGCTGAACACGAATCCGTTGTCCAAATTTGGCTATCACGTCACAATTTTGAAAAAAATTACGTCAAAGAAACAAAAAATGACGATTTAAAGGATTTTCGTGGCGCTGTAGCGCAAACAGTAAATTTTTTTCTACATTTCGTTAATGCCATGCAAAAGTATTAACTTTCAACTTGAAAATGTATGTAATCTCGTTTTCCAACAGTTTTTTGTTTTCAACATATGGCTAATCAGGAACAGTCGTCGATATCAATATCACTGGGCAGAACAATTTTTTGTTTTTTGCAAAAAGGCGAATAGTTATTTTCGATGTATTTTTGCTTGCTAAACCCGAATCCGCGGTCCAAATTTGGTTATCACATCACAATTTTGAAAAAAATGGAGTAAGATATAAGATAAGAAGATTCCCGCACTCGGCTTTTTGCTTTCTTGACGCCATTTTCTCAAAATTGTGACATGACAACCAAATCTGGACGACGGATTCGCAGACAAAAGCGCATTAGAAATACTCTATTCATTGGACTATTCGTACTCATGTCACAAAAAAAGTTCGATTTTTGTCGAACAGTGTAATTATTTGTTTTTGGTGCAAACCCATACAACACAGCAACGTTGCAGCAACATTGCAACATTATTGTTTTGCAATATTGTGACATTGCAACAACATTGCAAAATGTTGCTGCAATGCTACTGCAACGTTATAGCAACGGTAAAATGTCCGCTTGCGGCAATATAACAACACAATTGTGCAGCAACATTGCAATGCAATATATATGTAATATTATTATGTTTTATTAAACAAAGTAAAATCTCAGATAACACTCTTACATGAATATTATACTAATAAATATTAAAAAATTATTAGTGATTATGTATTACCAGTAATTCAGTAATTTTTTCGTCAGTATTTAATTTCTGGTGAATACTGATAATAAAATCACTATTAAATATTGATAGTAATCAAATACTGAGAAGTATTGTGCGAATGTGAAAAATGAAAAAATAATAATATTTAAAAAAATATATTTATAATTCCTAACTTTCTTATGTCTCATAAACTACTAGGTATTAAAGATTGTTAATACACACTCCAACCTTTTGTGAATCTTCCCTCGATAATTTCGATCCCAAGCAGTATACCACCGATCTATGTCTTTACTCCGTTAAAGTGTTGCTTAACCTGACGATCGAGCGACACGCGGCGATTCCCAATGACTCCAACGACATTCTCACGATTTGTGTTTATATAATTTATCCTTATAGTGTTCACAGTATATTATAACATACCTAGCAAACACCAAATAATAGTTATATAACTTTTACTTGGTGTTCATTAGATAATTTACTGATAGATATTGGTGTCTTTACTTTATACCATACGTGTGTCCATTATTGAATAGATTCATGTCCCTGATAAAGGGACACTAGAAATGAGACGAGGATGTCATACGGTGCCATATTAGGTGAATATGGAACTTACGGAACTATATTTGTTGAATTTTTGGCTAAAAATTTACAAACCACAAGAGTATTGTTTGAACATTTTCGGAATGACTAAAAAGCGACGCGCCGCAAGCCCAAATGATCTTTTAAAATTACTTGAGAAGATCCAAATGATACTGAAACATGTTCAACAATGTCCATATTTGTTAAACGGTGATCATTAAGCACCAAATCTCTGACTTGAGCGACTTGCTCATCAGTTAAAGTGAATAGCTCTACCAGAGCGTGGTTCGTCTTCGAGGCGTTCATGTTACGCGATTTTCACCTTGTGTGGTGGATTTCACACGAGCGATGAAAATCGCGAAGATGTGTCTTTACTCACGTTAATTTCCTGCTTTTTCAAATCCAACGTCAAAAATAGGGATTCCTATTTCAAATAATCATCTCGACCTTCAAATGACCTTCATAGTTAACTTAAAGGTCAAGAAAGTCATAGCGTATCACACTTATTTTTTAAAGTTCT